CTTATTGATGCGTGCAGTATTTCATTATAATAATATATATATATATATATGTATGTATGTCCTATGACCTATACCACCTACTCTTATAAAATATGTCATTACGAACGCTGCAGAACACGATTTGCCAACAATACAAAAATAATGACATAAATAGCTGGTATATGTAATGTACCTATACCAACTGCATTATATACATATAGGTACACATATTATTATATTATTGCGTATTGTTGTGTTCATCTGTCGATCGACACGAAAGTATATTTCACCAAAACGTATCATTCAGACATAGGAATGTTATAAATTATGATAATATTATGTTACTTTAGTAGTAGGTAGGTAATTTTATGGAGCCGGTCAAAATCATTAGTTTCAGTACCACTATTATACGTGTCCACGTATGTATTATGTGGGTACATTTTATGTAACTACAATGCCACGGAATGATGTTATTATTACCTGCCTACATCAATTATTCCCAGTTTGTTTTAACAAAGATATTTTTTTGGGCTGGGTACAATTGTTTTTTCGAACCGATTTTCGCGAGGCCGATTTTCGTAACGCAAACATAAATCAACAATAGAAAAAAAATAATACTATTTAATTTAATTCCAAACATTTTTACATTCCAAATTTAGCATGCAACTTGATACTTTTCCACTGCCCTTACTAACCTAACGCAAAAACCTATCTGTAATTCCTCAAATTTCCTTGAAAATAAAAAACATCTATTAGCAAATATTCCTATAATAATATACTATAGCGACATTTTTTTTTTGCCTCCTTACACGGTTAATAATAATTTTTTGCTCCAAATAGAATGTAATGATACGCTCACATATCATAATTGTATATATTACTTATTTATTCAATAAAATAAATAACGGTCGAGTTGTCGCACTTAGAAAGTCCCATAAAAATCTAATAAATACCATTAATCTCTGATGAAAGGAACGATTTGCATTATTTGGTCACGTAGAAACTCACTCATAGTTGTGACCGTCTGTCGCCACTTGTGTGATCTGTTTCTTACGAAGCCGGATACAAGGGATGGTCCAATCAGGGTCTCTATCACTAAGGATAACGGTAAATCTTTAGAAACACGGAGGCCTTTGATTTTACCGCCTGCGAATCCGGCTGGCCAGACCGCGTCGTCACCTCTCATCAGTGCATGAGCACCT